ACTGGGAACTATCAAAACTATCAAGAACTTTCTCCTCAGTCCATCTGAAAATCTGGGCTGCAGGTAAATTTTCTTGTTAACACAGAAAGAAAATAGATGGTTCGTGCAAAATGCTTCAAACACTAGCACACTTGTCCAGGATAGCCTGCCTCTCTGCTTTTCTCTTCTTGTTTATTTCCAAAATTGAAGTATATTAAATATTGAGAAACATATAGAAGTTGGTTCTTGTCTTTTGGGGATCATTCACCTTGTAAAGGTGAATGCAGGGAGCTGGGGAGCTGGTTCATTCAGTAAAATACTTGCTCTGCTTCAGCCTCCAGCATCCATATAAAAGCTGAATGCAGTAGTAAGCACCTTCGATCCCAGCCCTGGGGAGGCAGAGGCAGGAGCATCCCCAGAGCTTGCTGGTTAGCCAACCTAGTTGAACCAGGAACCACCAGGTTTAGTTAGAGACCCTGTCTCAAAAGTTAATATGGAGAAGAAGTGAAGGAGATACCCAACACTGACCTTTGGCCTCTGTGTGCACCCACATACACATGCGCACAAAGGCATATACACATGCACACACACACACAATCGAGTGTAGCATTCTATTTCCCTCTCAGAGAGAACTGAGTTTTGCACACATAAGAAGGTTCAAGAATTCAGGAAACCGTTGTATATTTTTTTGTCTGGTTGCCTATGAGAACTCGTTTTCATCTCCCTTTCACACAATGAACTGTGTAGAATATTGTAGAAAAAAAAAAACAACAGTAGACTCTATACTCTTGTGATGGTGAGTCTGAAGGACTGTAGGCTGTTTTTCTTGTTGTGATTAAGTAGTTCCCTGAGGCAACTTACGGGAGGAGGGGGTCATTTTGGCTCCCAGTCTGAGGCTCCACCCATCACAACAGAGAAGGCATGGCAGACAGCTCTGTAGCAGTAGGGTCTCTCAGCACTGGTTGCTCACGTGTGTGCAGGTCAGGAAGCAGAGGGCTCCGGCTGGAATCCCCAAGACCTGCTCCCAAAGATCCACCTCCTCTAACTAGACCTTACTCCTACAAGGTTTAACAGACTCCCCAAACAGCTCACCTGCTGCGGACAGAGTGCTTGTGTGTGTTTGTGTGTGTGTGTGTGTGTGTGTGTGTGTAGGGGCAATTCACGTTTAAACCTAACAAGCCCGAGAAAGACTTGGCTGGAGGTCTTCTGTGGGAGCTTCGGAGCCCAGATTATCAGTTCTTTCTGGGACCCCTGTTCTAATTCTCAGTCTGCCCCGTAGCCCTGAATGAATCTGTCTCCTAAGTCTCTCAAACATCAGGCTGCGTGGGTGCTGCTTTTAATGCTCTTCTCTTAAGCTCTGCAATTTATGGTGTAGTCATTCTGGGAGAAGGCAAGGATTAGTCTTTGTTGTTGGAGCTGCTGTGTGTATTAAAAAGCTCTTGTGGCAATCAGTACCCCATGGGAGAAAACAATGGGGAACTTTGCAGGCCCACTTAGTCAGAACAAGGGGGGCGGAGATTTGGATAATCAAGACAAATGTCTCTGAGCCCAGGATGCCTCTCAGAAGGGCTGTAGGAGCTGGGAAGAGGCCAGGGCTTCTTGTTTGTGCTCTGGCCTTGGCAAGTGCCTGCCTGGTCACATTAGCATGGAGGAGGAAGGAACAAGGTCTTGGGGCGGGGATAGAGCACCTGCCTACAATTCCCCAGTAAGGGTCTGGGGGCTTGGCTCAGCAGAAATACCTCATGTCAGTCATTTTAGCAAAAGGCAGGATTCCAGGTACACCCTAGAGTAAAAAAAAAAAAAAAAATGTACAAAGTTGTATTTTCCAAACTGAAATCTTTGAGCTTGATAGAATGTCATTTCTATCTTCTATTTGTTTGAGACAGGATCTTGCTATGTAGCCTAAGCTGGCCCCAAACATTTGATTCTCCCGCCTCAGTCATCTAGGTGCTGGGATTACAGTCATGTGCTATTGAGCCAGCTTGTCATTTGCATCTTGATAATTATTCCCCCCCCCCCAACTAATTCTCTGGCAGAACTGCATCCTCCTGGCTGGGCTGATGAAAAGTTCTCTGGTAGTCCTGGTGGCAACTGTAGGTCTCTGTGTCATTCACAAACTCTAGCCACACAGATAGACACATATTCCAGAGGAGGAAGAAGCTAGGATGTCACAAACAAAGACACATGGGCATTCAAGTGTGTGGTCTGAGGAAAAAGTCCCTTGCCTCTGCCTTAGTTATTGTTCTGTTGCTGTGAAGAAACACCATGGCTAAGCTACTCATGAAAAAGAAAGCACTGAATCTGGGGCTCATGCACATACACAAAGATAAAACACATCTTAAATCTCTCTCTCTGTGTGCGTGTGTGTGTTTGTGATGTATATGTGTTTAAGTGTAAGTCAGGGCATGTGGGTACCATGGTGCATATGTGGAAATCAGAGGACAACCTTGGTGTCAGTTCTTACCTCTACCATGTTTGAGACAGGACCTCTCGTTCCCTACAGTATATTGCAGCCTCGCTGGCTCTCTCCGGTGTTTCCTGTTTTCGCCTCTCACCTCACTGCAGGAATTCTGGGGTTACAGGTACCCACTACCGTGTCTGGCTTTGTGTGGGTTCAGGGGAATCATGCTCAGGTCCTCAGAGCTGTGAGCACTTTTTCCACTGAGCCACCTCCCAACATGCCCTTGTTTTGTGACTCACCCTCATCTTTCTGCCAGGTTTCAGATGCTTCAAAAGAAGGACTTGACGCTGTGGGACTGGGCTGGGCAGCAGGAGACCAATGCCCTGAGGGGTGTTTCTTCCCCAGGAATGTCAGCATGTCTACAAGGGTAAACAAGCAGCTCTAGTGGGACAACCTGGGTTAGTATCCCTGTGTTGTCACTGTAGGAGAGGCACAGAGCAATGCCAGGGACCCACTGTGAGCTGGGCTTGCATGATCACCAGTCTGACTGGTGGGCTTCCTGGGCTTAGTGTCAGTTCAGAGCCCAGGCCTAGTGACCTCACTCAGACCTGACGGCTTCTTCTGTGTAGCTACCCTGAATGAAGGCCTGGGGTCCATTCTAAAGTCCATTCCAAAGTGTAAGCTTACACTTAAGGCTTCTGGCCTTCCCCTTGGTAAAGGATTCTGAGGCAAGATAGAAAGATGGAGGCAATTAAGGGGACATAGGAAGGGGGAATCTGGTTAAAGCCACACACCAATTGAAAGGAAGAATTCTACCATGTTGTTGCTCACATACAGATGATATTCCTTGTATATAAAGATATTTTCAAATAGCAATGTTAAAATAGCAATAAGCCACCCTGTCTGACCTTCAAGTGTGGCCTTTCTTCTTTTTCAGAATTTTTTTTTCCCCTGGGAATCTCACAAACAAGACTGGACTTGTGCTTACAGTGAAGGTATCTTATTTTTCTCGGTGTCCCTGTGGCCCCAGCTTACTTTATCAGTGGAGATCCCATCAGTGCACCCCAGGAACCACCCTGTGATCTCACTCACCCAAAAAGAAAAGGTCCCTCAGCCACCATTTGAGGTGGAACTTCAGTAAGCCACCAACACAGAGAGAAAACAGGGTCACCTAGAAGTGTCCTTTGAGAAGGTCACACCCACAGTAAGGTGTGCCCTTACTGCCTCCTAAGTACCTTTCCAGCAACCCCCATGCTCACCTCTGTTAATGTCCTAATAAGCGCCTACCTGCTCCATAGTCTGTGCTCCTGAGCTTCTTTTCTGTGGTGAAGTTGAGGATCAGCTTTGCCTGGGTAGGTAACCAGGCTGCTGCCGGGGCAGCAGGGAGCTGTCCTGCCACTGCTCTGCAGTCTGGCTCAAACCTGGGAAACAACTGAGGCGACGGAAGTCCGTGTTTCTGTGACTAAGACAGACTTCTCCTGAGCATCTGTTTTGTGCCACCCTTCTGATGGCACAGTGGGCTAGCCTGCTGTGCAGGCTTGAGGACCAAAGTTTGCTCCCTAGCAACCATGTGAAAGGGAAGCATGGCAGTGAGCATCTGTGATCCCAGCATGGGGGTGGGGGTGGGGGTGGGGGCTCAGACTGGGTCCTGAGGGTCACTGACTAGTCAGTTAGCTAATCTAGGAGCTAAACCAGAGCCGCAAAGAAGGCGCAGCTGGCAGAAGTGCTTGCTGCACAAGCTGACCATCCAAATTCACCCCAGCGGAAGGAGAGAACTGACTTCCAAAAGTTGTCTTCTGACCTACCTTCTCCCTCTCTCTTTCTCTCTCTCACATATATACACACACACTCACATCCACACACAGACACACACAAACACATCCACACACACCCCCTGCCACATTCACATACATACACAGACACAGACACACATTCACATACATACACAGACACATGCGTGCGCACACACACACACACACACACACACACACACACACACACACGAATAAATAAGCAAAATTAGGATAAAAAAAAGAGTCAGTAATGGTCAGGAAGCACAGGAGATCTCAGAATCTGAGGCTAGCCTAGTCTGTCTCAGGGAAAACAATAAAGAAACCAACATCACAAACAAACAAACAAACAAACAAACAGCAAGAACTAAATGAGAGAAAGAAGGAAAACAATAAAGGGAAGATACCTGTTATCCTCGGGCCTCTTTGCTCTTCATCCCTCAGTATGGGCTTGATAGACCCAGCCAGCCTTCCCTCACATTCTTCATGTCATTTTCTAGGCTGCCCCAAACCATTCCAAATACAAACAGCCAAAGACCAGGGTGACTTGACTGTGTTGTTCATCCTCTCCCAGCCGCCCTGGGCGTCCCTCCTCTTCTTCCCTTCCCGGGCATCGGGTGTGACATGGTTGGAGACATGGCTTTGCCTCAGTGGGCGTCCACTGGGTACCTGCTCTAGTGGGCTCACAGGCTTGACCCGTCCACCGGCAGTGCCTGTGACGGCCAGCAGAGGGAGGTGGCGAGCCAGCAGAGCTGCACATAGCTGCCCAGCGCGGACCCGGAGCCGGAGCGCAGCAGCCCCACTACGACCGCGAGGCCGCTTGCAGCGGGAGGCGCCTGCTTCCTTCCTCGTCCCCAAGAGCAGGCACCGAGAGCCCCCACCTGGAGTCATGGCCAGCCCCCCAGGCAGCCCTGAAGATGCAGGCAAGCTGCGAGGAGGCAGGGAGGGCTGGCAGAGGAGGGAGGACGACGCTCCGGAGCAGAAGAGGTTGAGGCTGGGTCTGCGAGCGGGAAGCGAGCCCCAGGACGGAGCCACGGCACCGGGTCCAACCCGGGACGAGCTCGCCACCAACACAGGTGGCGAAGGCAGAAGTGTAAGTAAGCCCGGGCGGCTGGGACGTGGGTCAGGGCTGCGGTGGTCTAGGGATGCTTGGCCATCGCCCGGGTGAAGTTGGTAACTGGGCAGCAACTCCTGCAGGCGCATTGTGCTTGCTTGGAGGGACTTCCCGGGGATCTGGATGCTTGGTGGCAAGAACTGTTTATGTGCTGTTCATTTCCTAAGAAGCCCACAAGGTGTGGCTGGTGAGGAGCAGACCCAGCGGGACCCCGTGGCTTGCCTAAACGGGGAAAGGAAGGTCCCCAGAAGGAGAAGCATGTGGGGCTGCTTTAAGTAGCCCTGAGCAGGCACCCCCATTCTGTCCAGGGCTGTCGGGTTGTCTCTTTGAGACTTTACTGCCTGTGCGAGATTGTCCCCTTGGGTAGGGTCTCGGGTGGGCACCTAAGGAGCTCCAGGGTCATGGCGCCTGCGGTGCTCATCCTGGACTGCAGTCACTGTGCACTCGCCACCAGCACCGCACGTCCGTGCTCTCCAGTCTCTTCTAAGTCTTCTGGGAAGTGTGGGCAGGAGGCACATGGCTTCACCTCAGTCCCCACAGAGCGGGGGCAGCCAGGCAAAGTTCTTGGAATCCGTTGGCACTCCTGCCAGGCTCTGTCCCTAGCAGCCAAGGGTGCCTCTGTGGTGTGCTGCTTCTGGGGGCTTGATTGGGATGGAGACCGTTTGGCCCCCAAAGACTCTGCTCTCTCTCTGGACTCTCCGAGGTGTGAATCGACAGATCTTGCCCCGGGAGATACATGCCTGGAAGCTCTGCCCTTGCCGAGGCCGCCATCCTGGCTGTTTTTAATGGCTAGTGGGGTTGGATTCCTTCGCTCCCCCCCCCCCCCGTTTGCTTGGCTGAGCTTGTCTTATCAATTTGATGAGTTGCTGGTGAGCCCCCCCAGGGAGCAGGCCCTTCCTCCTGAGTCATTTGGATGGCAGCTGGCCACCTTGAAGCTCAGTGGCTCCGGCACTGGGTCGCTCTTAGGAACTTGTGAAGCCTCTTGTATCGGTGCTCAAGGCTCTCCATGGATGCTACTGCATTCCCAAAGAATCCAGGCGGGCCAGGTGAACGGCCTCTGAGATCCCAGGGGAAGAACATGCTTAGGGAAGGTTTTCTGGGTCACAAAGTGGAAAGGACTGGAAGGGAGTGGGAGGAAATGATTGGCTTCAGGCACAGCACAGTGTAGTGTCACGACACTTTGGTTTCTGGGACGGTCCCCTTCCCCTGCCTTCCTTCATCTCCTTTGGCACAGAACTGTGTTGAAGACCAGGATTCCAGGATCAATGCATGTGACCCAGGGCCATTGAGTGCTGAGATGTCAAGACTGAGTGCACATTCTGCCTGCCCTTAGCTGGGTGCCCTTGGGCAAGTCACTTAACCTCTCTGAGCATCTGGGTTGCCAAAACGAATATGCCTATAGGCCAGCTTCATTGTGTTGTTCCTGAGGTTAAGTAACGCTTGTTTGGAAGAAGCGTTTTGAGTGGCTCTGGTACACCGTGCGCTCAATAATGTGATTTGGTGCTAAAATTCACCCCAAGGAACTAGTGCTTGGTGGGGCATCCCCACTGAGTGCTTTCTGGAGGTTAAAAGAACTCTAGGTTTTTGAATGAAATTTACTAAGCCAGGAACCCAGTGGGGTTCCTTTGGCATGGCGTTGGGGGTGGGGTAGGAGCTCCATGGTATAGTTTTGAAGGAATATGCCAGAACTGGACAGAAATGATCTTCCCTGGTCTGGTTATAAGCCTCCTTTTTGGGGGTTCTGTGGCCCCCTGTGCAAACACTCCTGCTTTACAGTTTAAAGACTGCCCAGAACCCAGGCTTGCCTGTAACACCTGCCAAATTCCTCTTCCTTGTTTGTGTCATCTAATTCTCCAGGGAGTGTTTCCAGGCTGGTGTGTGTGTGTGTGTGTGTGTGTGTGTGTGTACGCACAGGGATGGGAGTGAGGGGGTGGTGAGCAGAGATGGCTCCTTCCTGGGGGAGCTGAGCCCCTGTCTCCACCCCTGGCTCTGAGAGAATGGACTGAGCAGAGAGCAGCACCCCTTCCTTAGTGACTGTCAGCTTGTTGAAAGTGTCGCAACCCTCCTTGTTCCTCAGTGACAGGTCACTGTGGACTCTTTGCAAAGCTGCTGGGCATCAGGCTACATCTAGACTTTTCTTTCTTTCTTTCTTCTTCTTCTTCTTTTTTTTTTTTTTAAGGATAAAATGTTCCTTCTCATCCCTGCTGCTGGTGATTGGTGGCAGAGGCTTCCCTGTGACGGGCTGTTCCTCTGCGTGGCTCCCTGGCTGTGCTTTTATCTTTGGGGTAGGGGGCTGGCTGCTTGCTAAAGGCAGCTTTTAGGAGACACACTTGAACTCCAGGGCCCCTGAGTGTGACATCTTTCGAGGGTGCTCAGGAGAGGACTTCTTACTTCTAACCTTTCCTTTTTCTCATTTTATTCATTCTTCCTCCATTTATTCTAAGCAGTATTTTTCATATTCTTATGTTAAAGTTAGCATATAAAATATTAGGCTTCATTATGGCATTTTCAAACACACACACACACACATACACACACACACACACACACACACACACGCATACACCACACCACACACATGCTTAAATCTCTTTTTTCTCTCCTTATTCATCCCTCCCTCATTTCCCCCTGCTCCCTCAGTACCTCTTTTCTGCTTTCTTGGTATTTGTATTCTATTGCCCTCCCTCCCTTTCCTCACCATCTCTTTTCTCCTCTCATGGTCACCCCCAGCTTTATGATCATTCCCACACCTGCTCCCACATATACATAAATAACTATTAAAATCTAGAATCCACACAACCCAGCCTCAGAAAGACAAATACTGCCGACTGCCTCTTGGGGTCAGAAGTCGCATAGTTTCTTTCCTTTTCTGTAATCCCAGGGAGGGATCCCAGTGTGATTTGCAGCCCATGGCTCTTCCCGGAGGGGAGAAAACCCTCTCCAGGGAGTTGTCTACCTGCTTTGACTTCTTCAGCACCAGGCATCTGGGCTGAGGTTACCTGGTTGTTGCTGGATGGAGCTGAGCTCTCAAGGGTAAGAACTCACCGAGGCTCCCCTCCTCCCAAATCCGTGACGGACCTCCTGAGCCATCTGTCCTGGGAATGGGATGAGGACAGGAAGGTCAGTAACTGGCATCAGGGGTACTGGGTGGAGGTGTATCAAGACTGCAGGACCACAGGGCTCCCCCTCCCTCATTTTTGCCATTTTTGACACAAGGTAGAGTTATCTGGCGAGAGGAACTTCCATTGAGAAAGCGTCTCCATCAGATTGCCTGTAGTGCAGGTTGTTTTCTTGATTAATGACTGATGTGGGAAAGCCCCACCCAGGGCAGGTGGTCACGTGTGTAAGAAAGGAGCCTGTGCAAGCCGGGGGGCACGCCAGTGAACCGTGCATCTCCACGTTCTCTGTCTCAGCTCCTGTCTTGAGTTCCTGCCCTGACTTCACTCAGTGATGGGGACTCGATCTGTAAGCTGAAGCAAATCCTTTCATCCCCAAGTTCTATTTGGTCACAGTGTGGTATCACAGCAGTAGGAAAACCTAGTGAAGCTACCATCTTTGCTGGTAGCTTCCCTCACCTTCCCCCAGTTTGCTTCTGGATGCTGATCCAGATTGTTCTCAGTGGAGTGGTCAGGACTGCCCTGAGCTATGGGTGGCATCCAGAGTATCTCCATAGCTATCAATAACCTCCTAGGAGTGAAGGCGGTTCAAGGCTGGGGTCCACTTTCATTTATTACTGTGTATGTGAGTACGCGCGCAGGTGTGCATGTGAGTCCATCCTCGGGCGTCACTCATCTGCTGCTATCCGCTTCTCTTCCTGACACAGGGTCTCTTATTGGTCTAGGCTGGCTGACCTGCAAACACCAGGGGTACACCTGTCTCTGCCTCCCCAGTCCTGGGGTTACATGCTCACCACCATGTCCAGTGCTCACCTTCTCTCTGTCTGTCTGTCTCTCTCTTTTAAGACTTATTTTATGTGTATGGGTGTTTTGCATGTATGTTCGGTGCCAATGGAGGCCAGAGGAGAGCATCAAATCCCCTAGGTCTAGAGTTATAGACACTTGGGAGCTGCCATGCTGGGACTTGAACCTGGGTCCTCTGGAAGAGCAGCCAGTGCTCTTTAACTGCTGAGCCATCTCTCCATGCCTCACTTTTGACATAAAGTCAGGTCCAAGGTGAGCACATTGCTGACCGAGCTATCTCCTCTACTGTCTATTTTGTTTTCGCTGTGCTGGGGACATGTAACCCAGGACTTCCTCACATTAGTTACTCTTCTGTTTCTGTGATAAAGCACCATGACCAAGGCAACTTACAGAAGGCAGGGCTTATTTGGGGTTAGGGTTCCAAAGGGATAGAATCCATGATGGTGGCTTGAAGGCATGGTGTCCGGATCAGAGAGCCGAGAGTTTGCATCTTCAAAGTGCAAAGCCAGTGTGTGAAGCAGAGAGAGAGAAAATTCACTAGAAAAGCACAAGACTTTAAACTCTCAAAGCCCACCTCCTGGACACACCTCTTCCAGAAAGGACACACCTCCTGGCAAGACTGAACCAATTGGGACTCAAGTATTCAAATGCTAGCCTGAGGAGAGACATTGTCCCTCAAACCTCCAGGGTACTTTCTAGGCAAGTGCTCTTTCACCGACCCAAGTCACTAGGCCTATCCTTGTGAAAGTGTAAGAGAACTACTGCCTGACTTCCCCTGGGAGCCAGTTTCCATGCACCTCAGGCAGAGAGGGTAGCCACAGAACAGCCAAACAGTTTCACTAAGTCCAGCCTGGGGAAGCAAAGAACTTGTTTGAGGTTATTTACAGGAACATGGCTGAGAGATTTCTTTACAGGAGCATGGACAGCTGTACCACAGAGTAGAGCACCCAACAACTGTTAACCTTTTTTTTTTTATCTCCTCTAAGAGGCCAGGGGTCTCACGTGCTCCAGAGGGAGCACCAAGAGTCACAGTCCCAAGAAGGTCTCTGATTTCAATGG